AGGAGAAGTTGAAATCAGTTCCAGATAATACAAAAGTTCTGTCAAAATGTCAGGCATATTGATTGAGTCACTCTCTTAATGCTATGATTTGTTTAAAATAAAAAACCAAAACAAGCAGATATTAATCTTTTCACTTAAAAAAAGATTTATTTACATGTCAAACATTTATTATTATTGGTGGTGATAAATATAACCACAAAGTCACAAATAACCTTAGAATTCTCTCAGCTTTAATGGCAGTGGAATCTAGCTTCATAAGGCTAATAGAAGACTTTTATCTCCCTGACCCAGCTCCTCTAATTTCAAATAGGAAACTCTCGACCTTATAAAGTAATCTGGGAGATCCACTTTAGAGATGGACCAGACAGGTCAGGAAGCTGAAGAAAGAAATCAACCTATTTTTGCATCTTACCATCTAAAAATGTTACTCTGTGTCTTCTAAATAAACAGAGACCTTTTTTTCTTGGTTGAGACTTTCCTCCTCTTTTCTGTAACAAAGAAGCAGAAACCAAATGTCAGGTGAACAAGACAAGAAGCAAGGGAGGCAAATCCTACAGAAGCTTCAGGTAAGGTATTTTCTTCCCTGTATTTTGGGAATAATTACACGTACCTGGGAGTAGATTGAAGCTTACAGAGAGGTAAACTAGTACCATCTAACTAATAATATGCCTCCACTACATGACTCTGGCTATCTGAACTTCAGACAGTTTCAAAATGTAAAGGTTCTGATCTGGGAACTCCAAAGACTTAAAGCAGATACTTTACCATTAGTATCCTACCTCTAATTTCTACTCTTTGTTCAAAAAAAGTTCTATGTTGACCTAGAATTCATCTGCATCGATTATATTCTATTCAAACCGGAACCTCAGAGTTGGGTTTGTTTAGGCTCCTTTAAATCAATTCAATTTATTTTAGTAAATATTTACTAAGGAAAAGAAACAAGTGGTGCTGGGACAGCTAGATATCCATGTGCGAAAAAATGACTTTGGACTCCTACCTCAACCATACACAAAAGGAAGCTCAAAATGAATCAAAGACCTAAATGTAAGAAATAAAACTATAAAACTCTTAGGAAAAAAACAGGCATAAATCTTCATGACTTTGGGGATTAGACAGTGGGGTTTTTTTTTAGCTAAGACACAAACGCACTAGCAACAAAAGAAAAAATAAATTGGACTTTATCAAAATTTAAAACTTTTGTTCTTCAAAGGACATTATTAAGAACATGAAAAGACAACCCACAGAATGGGAGGAAATAATTGCAAGTTGTGTATCTGATAAGGGACTAGTATCCCTTAAAGAACTCTTACAACTCAACAATAAAAAGATAACAACCCAACTTTAAAATGCGGAAACTATCTGAATAGAAACATCTCCAAATACGATATACAAATGGCCAATAAACATGTGGAAAGGTGCTCAAGATCATTAGTCATTAGGAAAATGCAAATCAAAACCTCAGTGATATACCACTTCATATCCACTAGATGGCTACAATAAAAAAGACAGACAATGACAATTGTTGAGGATGTGGAGAAATTGCAACCCTCACACATTGCTGATGGGAGTGTAACATGGTCCAGCTGTTTTGGGAAACAGTTTGGTAGTTCCTCCAAAACTTAAGCAGAGTTACCATATGACCCAACACTCCACTCCTAGGAGAATTAAAGACATAGGTCTACACAAAAACTTGCAGATGAATGTTCATAGCAGCACTAGTCATAATAGCCAAAAAATAGAAAAAACCTAAATGCCCATCAATTTAATGCACGGACAAATAACATATGGTGTATTCATACAAGGGAATATTACGCAACCATAAAAAGGAATAAAGTGCTAATATGTGCTACAGTGAGGATGAACCTTGAAAACATTATACTAAATAAAAGAAGCTGGACATAGAAGGCCACATATTGTATGATTCCATTTAAATGAAATGTCCACAATAATGGTTAAGTAGTTGTCAGGAGCTGGTGGGAGGGGAAAATACAGAGTGATGGCTCCATATGGGGTTTCTTTTGAGGATGGGAGGTTAAAAAGGTTCTGGAATTAATGATAACTGTTGCACAACTTTTTGAATATTAAAAGGGGTGAATTTTATGGTATGTAAATTTTATCTTACTTTTGGTATGTAATTATGGTATGTAAAATTTATCTTAATTTTAAAATATATTTCATGAGAACCTACTATCAGCACAGCAGACTTTCCTAGTCACTGATTCATAGTGGCCCTGCTGGCTGCCTAGCCCAGTGGTTCTTACAAATATGTGCTTCACTTAAAAAATATTAAGGGATATTTTAGAAAAACTTTACATAAGCAGATTTTTATAAAATCAAATCCCACAAAGAAGTCCTATAATGAAATCTTTTGTAAAATTACTAATTCACACCTAATTTATCTGTCCTGTGAATTTGAATTCTTTTATATAGGATTTACTCAAAGAAAAGAACATCTGTTCAACAACTATTTAGCCCCATTGCATAATACTAAGAGTCACCATCAGAGTATTGGAAGACTTTCCCAGAACTGCCCAGCCTTACGATTTTATCTCCACCACTTTATGAGCTCTTTCAGCCCATCGCTTTTTCCGGAAATGCTGGCAGAGGACCACCACAATTACTATTATGACCATTATTGCACAGGCAGAGCCAATGGCCAGAGCCAGGAAGTAGATCTCAGAGAAGCGAACTGTAAGGAGAAAAAGATCAAGTTAGGATTCTAAAAAGAAGACTATGATGAAATCTAAAGATATAATAGGGATGTATTTCATCAGTAGACGGAATCTTACTTTGTCCTCCCTCTGTGCATAAAACACCATATTACCTTGTAAACCCTAGCAGCAGTAGGAAAACCGTACAGATACTTTACTGATTTTCAAAGTGTGGTCCTAGAAGTAGCACCAGTAACATCACTTGAAAACTTTGAAATGTAAAATCTCAGGCCCCACCCCAGACCTACTGAGTTAGAAACACTAGGGGTGGGGCCCGGCAATCTGTGTTTTAACATTTCCTCCAGGTGATTCGGAAGCAGTTTTGAAAACCACTCGGTGGGTTGAACTACCTATGGGGTAAGGTTATCGTTAACCTCATCGAACCTAGTGCCCAGCCAATTTTTCCCTGACTCCCTCTCACCACTGTCAGTCAGTTATTTATTCAGATTTATTAAGGGCCTACTACGTTCCAGGCACTGCGATAGAAATGCAAAGCCAAAAACACTATCCTCAAGGAGCTCATTCCCCCTGGGAATTTAGGCAAGTTAATGGGTAATTACAGTCTCATGGATAAATAATGAAAGAAGGAACCCAGACTAGAGTCTGTGAACCCTGACTATCCTGTCCATTAGCTTGATTTCTCGTCACTTCAGTAAGCTCTCAGAGTCAGAAAGGACATTAGAGAATGTCTACCAAGGATTCCCACCCTTGAGTCCATGAAAGAGGATGGGGAAGGAGAATTGGGGGTGGTCCACAAGCCCACAAAATCCATGTCTTATTGTGTATGTCTCCATTTTTTATGAGAAGCAGAGCTGTGTCTTTCATTCAGTTCTCAAAGAGTAATGTTCTGCATGTGGTAAGAACGATTGATTTTTTTTTTTTTTTTTTTTTGTCCAGCCTATTCATTTTGCAGAGGAAGAAACTAAAGTCCAGAAACATTACATTACTTCTTTAAAACTCAAATGACTTGTCTAGGGTCACACAGTTCTCTATTGTTAGGGCCTTGAGGAATAGTTCTAAACTGTACTAGGAATGAAAGGAGGGAATCATACCACTTTACAGGGTTATACGTTTGGGGTCGTAATATTGCGTGTTGGTTAAGAGTACACATCAGAGAGTGCAAGGTTAAAATATGAGCTTTGAGGGGCGAGGGATAAAAACTTACCCATCGGGCACAATGAACACTGTTCTGGTGACAGACACACTAAAAGCCCTGACTTAAGCATTATAAAAGGTATCCATGTAACAAAAACATTTGTACCCCCTTTATATTTTGAAATTCCAGAAAAAAAGGTGAAAGGGGTAGAACAAAATAGTTTTATTTTTAAAAAGAGCAATAAGGGAAATAGCTCTACAATGTACTAACTGTGTGATTTGGAGCAATTAACTTTTTTGAGCCTCAGTTTCCTCATGTATGCAACAGATGATGATATTCATTTCTTGAGTTCTTATTAAAAAAATAATTCAGGTAAATTGTTCCACACTGCGCCTGTACATAAACACTCAGTATATGGTAGCTATTATAATTTTCAGTACAATTCAGAGTCTGGGGAATTTTCACATGTATTATCTTATTTTGTCCTCACCATAATCCTTGCTATATTATTCTCACTTTACAGATGAGACAAATTAGGTTTATTTATAGCTGACAAATGATAACAGTGACTCACAGCTAGATCTACAACTCCTAAGTTTCCCGTACTTTGCTCTTTGTTACCTGGCGTAGTCCTCCAGGTTGTCCTTCATAGGGATGCGGACAATACGATGCACCAGTTTGCAGCACAGTTTTAAAGTCGAAGATGATCGGGTTTAAGTCCTAAGTTACTCCATTTATCAGCTACATGACTTTGGGCAAGTGACTTAATCTCTGTGAGCCTCAGTTTCCTTATTGGTAAAACGGGGGACACTAAATGCATGATAAACTGATAAGAAGTGTAAAGATTGAATGAGCCACGTGGAGCCCTGACATTTGGGAGGTCCTCAGCAAGCATTAGCTACCATTATTGGTATTTGCCTCCCAGGGTGGTGTGAGGATTAAATGAGATAGTGCATGTCAAGCACTTTGGACAGTGCCTAGCACCGAGTGGGTACTCAGCAAGCACCTTGAATAAAAAAGTGAATGAACAGACCTATTGTTAGCCTTTTATCAGAGAGTTGCTTCCTTTGCCTTTCACAATCTCAATGCCATTTTTGTAACAGATTCCGAGTCCCTGTGCTTTACTCTCTGTTTCTTTCCACAACCAAACAAAGCCTTTCTTTTTTGACCCCAGGACTTTTCAGTCTCCCTCTGAGGCTCCCAGCTCTGAAGGGCTAGTCCCTCTCTGCCCCTTTCAGCCATCACAAAAGACTGCCCTTCTCTCCTCTGCAAGCTCTCACACTTCCCCAAACCACTGTTCCCTGCATAACCTACCAGTGTGCACGACGCTGAGCCGGATCTCCCCTATCACCCCGTCAACATCGGGTGGATTCTTCACCTGGCAGGTGTATGTCCCATTGTCATCAAACTGCAGTTTCCAGAGGATGATGGAGACGTCATACCGCTCAGGGTTCCCATCCCAGACCACCCGGTCCTTAAACCGCCCACTCATGGGTTTGAAGGGATCCACGTGGTAGTAGAATACCTAGAAAGGAGAAACGGCAAAAGGTCTTATTCAGTCCCTGGGCAAGGAGGCTGAGATGGTGGGAACAGGAGAGAAATATCAGCGAGCCTAACTGTGCGTCTGCAGCTCTCTCACTTGCTTCCCCCTTGCTGGGCCTCTGAGTTCTGCCAGTCTCTATCCCTAGAATTGTTTCCCCACTTAACCCTGGGCTTGTTGCTAAGAAAAATACTGGACGAGCAAAGAGAAATGAACTGGCTTGTTATTTTCCTAACCAAGGGCCCCCTGGAAAATGACAATAATCTACTTACAAACTGCTCAGGCCCTCCATCTAGAGGACGGAAATTCCATGTCACTGTTAGAGCATCACCCACGGGGGCAAAGCTGGAGAAGGTGCATTTTAACCGAGCATCTGTCCCATTAACAGCCTCCAGCACGCGGGGAGTATAAATTTCCACAGCTGCTATGGGCCAAAGAGCTGCAATAAAGAAAAAGAAAAAGAAGGGTTAACAGGGAATGGAGTATTGTGAGAACTTTTGCTGACACTTCCAAAATAAAGATCTGAGTAGAGCATAAAGTGGAACTGAGATGCCCCAGCTCCCAAACTTACTTCACCCGGAGTCTGCATACTCCTACCCATATGCAACCTTGACCCTCCCATTCCATACGATGACTAAAAATACCACACAGCCAGCCTTCTCTTACTTTCTCTGCAGCGTGATATCCTAGCCTCATGGTACCAACTTCAAGACTGTAATAACGCACTATAAACATCAGCAAATAAAATTGAAAGCAGAAACAAACAATTCAAATGAATCATAACATTGACTAGACATTATGTATTAAGATTAAGCATTACGTGTTGTATGGAAAATGGTCTCCTAGCAGGTAAGTTTTCCAGAAAGGGTCCTTCTGTGGATTTCATACTGTTGATAGTCTTGTGCAGAAATTGAATCAATCAACTCCAGACAGCTTACTCTTGCCTGCACCCAGAACCTTTATACCACGTGGCTTTTTTTTTTTTTTTACCATGTTTACATTTAGAATGTGTGTGTTGGGACAGTTTCAAAACCACAGTGGGCCTCTCAACAATCTCAGCTTTTCCAGTACTGCTAAGAGTCCCAGGCAAGACCCACACACAGAAATACAAGTGCCAAGCCCTGCCAGCAGCGGGAGGTTGAGAGCAGCAGCGGGAGGTTGAGAGCAGCCACCAAAAAAAAAAAAAAAAATGTGTGTAACCTGAGATTAGAAAGCTCTCTCTGTGCCTGAATCACTGGCAGCCAAACACACCTAAACCTGTTTGTCCAACAGCAATTCCCCAAAAAACAACCCACCAACTTTGGTTTCAGTAAAATCCAAACTAAAACAAACTGCGACTATGGCTCAAGCTCCCAAACAAAACTTTTGCAACTTCTAAGACAATTAGCTAACTTTACAGGGTAGGAAACGCAGGAGGGAATGCTGAGAGAAGCCTGCCGGCTCTTACCTGTGAGCTGTATCCCAAGCAGAAGCAGCACCACACGAGCAGGGCTCTTGCCATACATGAGGGAAACCCAGCCCTGGCCCCAGAGACCAGACCGGGCAGAGCGAGGGCTCCAACACCCTGCCAAGGCCACTCCAGGAGGAGCGAGCGCAGCGTTTTCCCAGACAGAGGAGTCCAAGTCCCTTACCTATGCCCGTGACTCATCCTGCTCTGCCGGTGCACTTTGCTGAAATGAAAGGTGGGGCCTCAGCTCCCAAGGCCCTCCTTCGTTCCCTCCCTGCCGCCCTCTACGCTAGAGCACGTCTGCACAAAGGTCCCAAACTCTGCAGTCCTCTCTTTACTTTTCAGTTAATCTAACTGGGCTCCAGCCTCTAGATGGCCTCGGAAACAGCCAGAGGAGGTGGTGCCAGCCTGAAACGTCCCAGGCTGCTTTGGGTTTGGCCCCACACACCCGTTTTAAAAGAGGCTTTAGGCTTGCCTGGGAAGTAAATGTTGAAACCCACCTTGCAGTGATTCTTCTTCCCAAAGCACCGCCCCAGGGCCACATCAGCCTAGAACTGGATTCACTGCAACTCCCCAACAAGAATTAGAATTCCCCAGGACCCCCTGTGGGCAAAAAGTCCTCCAGCTGACACCCTCAGTTTTAGCCCCATGTTACCACAAGGATTTCCGCACCTTTCAGAGAGACCCAGCTGAAACAAACCGACCAAATCAAATCTCAGTGTTTAATGATCCTTTACCTTTGAAAGATTTAAAGAAGAATCAGGACATCATCCTGGCTCATTTACCCTACAATCCCAATGAAGTTTGCAAAGTGCTTTCCAGCTGACAATATGTTCTCCATGACAACCCTGTGAAACGTCCCCATTTTGCCAGTGAGGACACTAAGAGCCCAGGAAAGGTAAATGATTTGCCCAAGGTTACACTGCTAGGAGGTGGCAAAGCCCAAACTTTTTTTAAAAAGTCTAGTGCTCTTTCCACCAAATAACAGCTAATATGAATAATCAGACAGAGGGCTCTCAAGGAAAAGGTTTTCATAATAACTTTTTGGTGCCTGAGATTTCATCTGCCATTTTTAGGGCATCCTTCTGTCTGACAAGTCTAAAAAGCTGAGGAATTTAAGTGAAAAGGTGCCTCCTCGTTTGGAAGAAGGTGGGTCATCCTTACGGATAACTGAAGCTGCGCAGACACAGCAGTAGGAGCAGGATGAAGATTACACATGCAGTTAAGGAGTAGGCTTGGCCAAGAATTGCCCTTATCCCCAGATTAGCAGCCTAGAAACTCTCCAGTGATTCATAACATCTCCTAGCTGAACCCCGGAACAGAGAGGTTACCAGGAACGGGAGAAAGGCGCAGGCTGAGTAGAAAAAAATAAAACATAAAGAGGGAAGAAAAGAGAAAATTCTATCAAAAGTGAAGCAAAATAGAGAAGTAAAGAAAAAGAAAAACATCAGTAAAAGGATGGCGTCCACATGGAACAAAAACTAGTAGACAACCACGAAAATCCGTCCTTGGGAACTGAGAAACCTAGAAGCTGCCCCAAGGGAACGCAAGCTGTGTGTTAGCACGAACTATTGCTACGATGAGTGTTTCTGAAAACTGTGGCTCCTTTGTCAGGCCAGAGAGGAACCTAAAATCAGACTGCTGGGGGGAACCTTCCCAACGGCGGAGAGGGAGGATAAGATACAGCCTTTCTGGTATGTAGGTCAGAGGAGTTCAGCTCCAGGAGCCTGACAGACAAAGAGTTAAGGAAACTCAATCTTGGTTGGTTTTGAAGGTCGCAGGAAAATGCAGCTCCAGAGGAAGGCCAGGTAGAGGCCTGGGGTTTTGAAGTCTAGGACAAATTGCAAAATTTGGTGAGAGGTAGAGTTACCAAAGAGCTCAGGGATACAGTGAAAAGCAGCAGGAGAGGAGTGAGGGCAGGAAGAGCTGAACAAACTGCCTGTTGTCAGGAGCAGAAGGATCCCTCCGCAGGTAGCCAGACGCCCGTGAGCTGCCTGCCAGCCTCCCTCTGAGGGGCAGCCGCTGCCCAGATCCCATGCCTCAGCGCAGTTCAAGTTTCTGACTTTGTGCCCGGCAACACCCAATTCCTTCCAGTTAGCAGGAGTGGCTGCAGAGTCACCGGTTCCCCTCCCTGGGTGAGGAAGGAGACCAAGGGCAGAACTTGTTATGAAGAGAAAATGCAAAATAGAAAGGATCTTTGCCCCTGAGAATTCCCTGGATGCCGACCAGCAGGACTTTGATCAAAACCAAAGGCATCTACATGAAGGCCTACGTTATAGTTTGTGTCTAGGCCAATGAGAGGAAAGGAAGAGGAGTTCTAGAGATTAAAAAGAAATAGTTTTCAGAGACACCACTTTCTTTCTAAACTTGTCCAGAGAAAAATCCTGGTTGGCGTTAAAATTTGTGACACACCAATAGTTTTGAAAGTCCCTCCTCTGTCCCAACCCTTTACACATAGGTTGGGAAAATATTTCTAGTGGATTTCTAGACCTTGGCTAATAAGAAACTCACTGGGGGCTCGGGAGGACAGCTGTATCGACATTTGTAAAAATTGTCCTTCTCAACACCCTAGGCAAAAACGTGTTTTTTTACCACAAGATGAAATCAGCATTCTCTGAAGCAAGTAAAACAAATAATTTAGCTTTTAGGGTGGTTAGAGTAAGGCATTTGTTTACTCAAAAGTTTCTGACCATATGTCTTCCTAGGAAAAAATTTAGACATACAAAGTAGAATAAGACATTTCTGCCTGGGAGGAAATCATAGTGTAAAGAGGATGGGGAGGTGGAATGTCTTTGTAAATAAATAATTGCCATATTTGTGACTTTTTAATTCTGTCCTTAAAGATATATAGGAATTCTGGAAAGAGAGAGGAGAAACGAAGGCCTTCCTATTGGGGCAAGTGGGTGGGAATGGGGTATCCAAGGGACCAACAAGCAAGTCCTCAAACCCGGAGCACAGGGAGGAGTGGTAGGCCAGGTGAGAGGCTGAGCCCACCCGGGCAGGGCCCTCATTTGCCATCCTAAGGAGTGTGGACTTGATCCTGATGAATATACCAGTTGAAGGTGGCTAATATGTTACCCAAGAAAAGTCTCCCTAGAGTGGAATTACTGTGGTATTTCCCAGAACCATTTAAAAAAGAAGGAGGAGGAAAGCCTTGAGATATCAACCACCACTTGTTCTCCTGGCTTTCTCATGGGCCCCTGACTCAGGAGCCAGAATGAAATTACAGACCTAATACCTGTTTTCAGAGGACTCAGGGACTCCCAGCCTTCTCTAACCAACAACTCCAATCCAACTTCCTCTGGTGTAGAGAGCTTTTCAAACATGAGAGAGGGAGGTTAGGATGTCAGGGTCCTTAATGAGAGGTGGACCCTCCGCACAAAAGAATATGAGTGTCCCCCTTTGGTCCTCCTCACCTCAGGTGTCCTAGAGACATCCCAAAACAAAGACTGAGCTGTGAGTTTAGAAAAGGTGTGGGAGAGAACGCTTTCCACCTCCCCACCTCCTTACAGCTTACATACACCTCTGCAGTAAAGCCTCAGGCTCCTTTCTTGATTATAGAGGAGACGTCATGCCCTTATTAACCTGCCCAAAGAAGAGACTGTGAAGTTTAACCCTTCACTTGTTCTCAAGGGAAGCTAGATAGATTGTGCAGGGCTGGAGAGATGGGGCCTCTTTGAGGATAACTTTGAAAATCTTTCAGGAGGATAAAGGGACCTTGATAGATGAAATTTCTAACTTCCTGTTAACCATACGCATCCCACCTAAATAATGGGTAAGAATTTACATTTATATTGTGTTTATTGATGAACCCAGTATCTCATCACCCTTGTTCCAGTTATCTCTTGTTAAAATTGGTTACCATGACCAATTTTTATTCTTAGAAAGTTAATTCATTTCCTAATAAAAGAAATAGCCACTTTTTTTTTTTTTTTTTTTTTACTACTATATTCTAGGAGGCATGAGGCATAGGAGCTGGAGTCCAACCTGCTTTGATCCAAATCCAAGCTCAACCAGTTACCAGCTGTGTGACGTCGGGCAGTTATTTAATTCTCTGTGCTTCAATTATCTTGCATGTAAAATGGGAAGAATAATATCTGCCTCACAGGCTTGGTATAAGAATCAGGTGAAATACTGTGTTTAAATAAAGCTCTATGCTCAGCACGAACAGAAAACTCAGTAAATTTTAGTTGTTTGTGGCTACATTAATTAAGATGTTAAAAAACTATTCCCATGACCACTTTGGGAAAAGGTCTCGCAGTTTCTTATAAAGGTAAACATACAACCTCCCTAGCTATTCCACTCCAAGAGAAATGAAATTATGTATCCACAAAGATATTTGTAGGAGAATAGTCATGGAAGCTTTATTCTTAATAGCCCCGAACTGGAAACAGCCTAGGGGGTCTATCAACGACACCAACAAAAGAAGAAATATTCTGTAGAATATTCGTACTTGAATACTACTCAGCAATAAAAAGGAACAAGCTACTGGTACATACAACCACTTGATGAACCTCAAAAATGTGTTGAGCAAAAATAGACACAAAATAGTATAACTCTTCGATTCCATTTATATGAGCTTCTAAAACAGGCAAAATTACTCTTCGGTAGAAAACTCATAAAAACAATGTTAGCCCCTAGGGGAATGCAGGCAGGCATTGACAGGAGGGGCAGGAGAGAACTTTCTAGAAAGATATGAATGTTCTGCATCTTGATAGGGGGTTGGATTATGCATTTGTCAAAACACTTCAAATGGTATGCACTTAAGATTTGTGCATTTCAATGAATGTAAATTTTACTTCAATATTTTTAAAAAAGAATTGTAAACAAATCCTGAATTCTCATTAACGCTGAAGTATTTAGGAAGAAGCATCCTGATGTCTGCAATTTATTTTGAGAATGCATCAAAAATAAGATGCATTGATAAATTGATGGACGGAGAGAGGGACAGATGGATGGATAGAGGGATGGATAGGTATGTGATAAAGCAAGTATAGTAAAATGTTAATTGAAGAACCTAGGTGAGGTATACAAGGGTTCGGTGTAAAATTCTTCCAACTTTTCTGCATGTTTGAAATTTTTTATAGGATGTTGAAGGGAAATCTGCGCCCTCATTCATCAAGCTTCATCAGCTTTAAGTAAATAACACCACCAAATTTAATAATAAAGTGTTTACGATTCATTACTTTATATCTTTCTAGTTTAAACATCATTCCTTAGAATACTTGTATTTTTTAACAAATAGAAATTACCATTAATTAATTTAAATTACCATTTATCAGGTGACTACCATGTACCCAGCACCGTGATAGGCATGTTACATGTATTATTTCTGATCTCCATACCTATAACGTAAG